TTTTGTTTTTTTTTTTTTTTTTTTTTTGATAACCGAGAAATCCCCCGCGAGTTAGCTGGCCTAACCCCAGTTGGCCAGATTGGAGACTTGGTTTGCTTATTTGGGTTTTTGGCTTAAGAATGTATTTTAGGCCCTACCTATTATAGTTTATTCGTGAATACACTGGCTATGCTGATGAGCTAATAAAGATAAAATTGAGGCTCAAAATGAAGAAAAAGCCAAGAAGAATGAAGAGAAGGACGTTATTAAGCAGCAGAATACATATGCACAGCTGCTGTTATTGATTGCTGATGGGCACAAATGGTGGCTAGATAATTTAACTATTCTGTTCTGTGTCATAGGGTGCTGATAGCTGTGTAATATTTTTCTAGAAGAGGCATCTTTTTTGAGGTTAAGCTGCAAATTGAGGGTATTTCATATTGTTCAGAACCAAGTAGATCTGTATCATATTGTTTTTCTGTACTATTCTCTGAGACCGTCAAGGATATTCATTTCCGAAGTGTTATAAGTTTTTCCAGGTTCATCATCTTGTGGATAAAATCTTGTTTGAATGCTTTTGGAGGTCGACGTTTTATATAGACTACTACATGGTAAAAATGGGTAGCTTCTTCTGTCTATGTATCTCTAAAGCAGCCTTTTGCTGTAAGAAAATGATTACTTTAGTTCTGACCAACTCTTTCGTTGCAGCTATCGCACAGCCCGTGTCTGGCAAAGCTATCATTCTTAGCCGATGGAATAGTTTTACTGTTCTATTAGCAGAGATTGAAACCATGTTCAAAGATCGGCAAGTACCATACTTAATGCCAGGTAGTCCCTTGATTTGGTTAGTGCTGCTAAAGTGTCAATGTGCATAAGGAAACAAAGGTGACTTAGTTGCAAATACTGTAAATCATTATTCCAAAACTTGTAGAGGACGAGCCACCAAGCATTTTGGGTCATCGAGTAACATAAATTGCTTCTCTACCATGTTCACCTGGAACACGACCAAATAAAGATCGGCCATCTTCTCAAAGTGGATAAGCGAACTAGCGAAGACAGTAGGAGATAAAGTGGAATTGTTTTCCAGGTCTCAATCTAATTGTCTCACATTGATAGGATAAGATCCTAAGTGTTCAAGATTATTTTCATTTGAGTACTTTCATTCTTTTCTGAAGCAGTACTCCAATATTTATAGTATTATTTAGTAACATAGGCTGTTGTATGCTTGTACTTTGGTGGAACCCCCTTAACTGAGATGGTGGCATTTTCTCTTCTTCATGTTTGAACACAATTAGAGTTGGCTAAATTATCCAATTTCAACAGTTGGAAATCAAAACCTGCTCATTGTATTAATTGGGGTCAAGCTCATAAAAAGAGTCAAAACTCTATCTTTGAATCTGCTGTTTATACCATGTATTTTAAAAAATTAGAATTTTCCCACCAAAATCCTTTCTTGGAATGTTATACTTTGAAACAGAAGAAAGAGATTATTAGATAAGTATGTTATGTCGTATATAAGGTTGTATTGTAGTTCGGGTCTGGCTCGGGACCGGCCCAGGACCACGGGCCAAACGGGGCGGTTCAAGCGGGCCTGGGCTCTAGTGGTGCAAAAGCCCGTGGTGGGCCGGTTCAACACAATTAGCCCCGGCAGGCGGGCCTGGGTCGGTTCAATCGGGCCTAACGGGCTCCAACGGCTAATTTTAAAAAATAAAATAAAAAAAAGACCAACGGTCAGATTTTTAAATCTAGCCGTTGGCCTTCAAAATTTATCCGTTGGGCACTTTAAAAAATAGTCATTTGGCCCCCAAACTTTGTTTTAACCTCATACTTTTTATAATTATACTTTTTCTCAATTCTCAACGATAAATACCCCTTCATTCTTTCATTTTTACTCACAAATTCATCAATCTCTCTCATTTCTCAAACTCAAATTGAAGTATTCAAGTCTTCACTCATCTCTCGTTTCTCAAACTCAAATTCTTAATTCAAGTTAAATCATGTCCGGTGATTCTACATTGCACCCATTTTTTTTGTAACACTTTAATGTGGTAGAAGAAAATGAAGAAGTTTACATAATAAAGTGCAAGAACTGTGGTCGAGTCTACACTCGTCGTCGAAATGAGGGGACAGGCTCTTTAAGGAGGCATATAAAGAGTTGTCTTGCGCGTTCTCCAGACATTCGTATTTAAGATTTTAGGTTGATGTGAGACAATTTGTGTTATTTAAAATTATTAGACGTATTATACTTAATGTTCTAGTTTGTTAGATTATTTGAAGTATTATGTTGAAGGTATTGAACTTTAATTTGAAGTATTAAATGTAAAATTTAATTTGAACTATATCTATAGCTCATATATATCTATATCTATATCTATAGCTATAACTTATATATATATATATATAATATTGTTAAAGCTATATACCCTCCTCAAGCACAAGCTCTGACCACGTTTCAGTTTTATAATCAGAAACAGTCTCAATTTTATCAATCCTTACGATTCTAGAACATTTTAACGGTAGATTTACCCTTGAGCTTATTAAGCTCTAACCACGTTTCAGTTTTATAATCAAAAACAGTTTCAATTTTATCAGCAAAGTTTTTTGATAAATCAATTGGTCTAATATTTAAACCAAAAAGTTTCTTATCAAGAAGGTTTGCTAAGTCATCAAGATATTTTATTTTGATAAGAAATTAAAAATAAAGGCTAGTAGAATCATAGTAATAAGTTTAATTTTATGTGATGTAGTGGTCGCTGTGTAGAGATTCATAGTCCACACTAACTTTTTTTATGTTCTAATCTTATTTCTTCGTCAAATACTTATGAAGAATCTTGTCTTCTTCTTCCAAACATAGTTATACGAATAAAGACAAAAAGTGTACATAAGTTGAAATTTTTTAATTCTTGAAAATAGTCTTAGCAATATTGACTAATCATTATTATACATAAAATACTATTTTACACTGTTAGGTCAAGATGAGACTATAAGAAAGAAGGAAAGTTCGTGCCTCACCGTTTTAGATTTCATATTTGCTCTCTCACAGTAATATATTTTTGTTCAGATTTACTTAAAGTTAGGAGCGTAACGGAATAACCAATTAGATTACTAAGTATATTTAAATATTATTTTAGATCATGTAAAAAAATAAAAGTTAACTATGTGTCACACCTCCTTTTTACACACCCGAGGGTATATATAGGGAGTTTTTCCAATTTAAGTGACATTATTCGAAATGAGATTATTATTTAATTTTTTAGAGTCGCCACTTGGAATATTTTAATTTGTGTCACAAGTAATCGATTTATTTTTAAATCTCAAATCGAGGAAATTCGACTTTCTTTTTGAAGTCTGCGAACCAGAAATTCTAAGTAAGGAATTCTGTTAACCCGGGAGAAGGTGTTAGGCATTCCTGAGTTCCGTGGTTCTAGCACGGTCGCTCAAACTATTATAATTGGCCTATTATCTGATATTAAAACACTTTTTAAACCTATGATGCATTTTTAGCTTATTAATCCGCTTTTAATTATTTTAAGAAGATTCAACTTTATTTAAAACATGCCTTGAACCACGCCACATGAAATGCACACGCGGTCCACGACACGTTCTATTTAACGTTGTTAAGAATTAAAATTGGGTCACATGAAATGCACACCCGAATTTAATAAATAAGAGAAAATCAATTTAAAGAACGCGCCTAAAGCAACTACGAAATTTCAAACTAATAACAAAAGTTTACGAGGGCCATGGAAAATTCAATTGATGGCACACCCCGATTTTAAAAGAGTTAGTGTTAATTACATGAGGGCCATGGGTTACTTAATGAAAATGGCACGCCTCAAATTGTCTATAAAAGCTAGCTAGTTTTGTGAAGGCCATGGGCTTAGGGATTCATTTGGCATGACACGCCTCAAATTATTTTAAGAAAAGGTTTATATATTTTAAAAGGCAAACTAAAGGTGCTCCTATTTTTAATCTTAATTTGAAATTAGGTATCACAACCACGCCACGGGAACCGTACCCGTAGTTGTAATAATTTAATTGCGTGCCTAAAGTAAACTACGGTGTTCATGAATATTCCAAAGTTATGAAATTTATTTGTGGAAGAAGCGAAACTAATTAACTAAGGAAAGACGGACCAAATTTATTCACTAGTTTATATTGTGTTGGGCTTGGCAATTTGAAATTATTTAAACTCAACCAATTCAAGTAGGGTCACTTTAAATAAATATCCTATGACCATATTAGCCAAAATCCACAATCCATCCGAAAGTCCAAACCACCAAAAACTAAATTCGCTCAAATCTAACCAAAACCTAGCTTTTCATCCATTAATTTATCAATTTATATTAAAATATTATCTAAATTATAACATGCTAAATCATGATAACAATTGAGCAAAAGCATGCTTAGCATTCCAGTCACAATAAGACATTAATTTCAGAAATAGTCCATTAAAATAAAAGCATAACAAATATCAAGGAAAATAACAAAAAAAATATGATATTAACATCTACAGGCATACAACGAAAAATAGTATCAAAGTCATGGAACAATTTATCTATTTCATTTCACTTGATATAAGAGATAAATATATAGAAGAAAACTGAATCTCAACAATTGAATCCTTTGTATTAAAGGTGAGCTTGGTTACAGCAAACTCCGGTGAATCGAATCTGACCGAAAAACAAAAATAGGGACTGAACCTTGAGTCGTGAACCTCGGACAGTATCTTCGCCACAAACCTCAGCGACTATTTCATGGCTGATTTTTGGAATGAAAATACAGCTCTTTTTTGCTAAAGTTGATGGCTGTTTCGATGGAGATTTATGACTGGTTTTTCAACAGTTTTGTAGCTGGGTTTGACTGTATTTTTTGGAC